AAGTATATTCTGAATGAAAATAGACAAATAGATATGATCAGATTGAAATATATATTATATATATATATATATATGTATGTATGTATGTATGTATAGATAGATAGATAGATAGATAGAGAGAGAGAGAAATAAAGAAAAGAGATAGATAGATAGATAGATAGATAGATAGATAGATAGATTTTCTTTTTGTTTCAAAACCTACAATTAGTTTAAACGTTTTATTATTTAAAATGTCCTCCTTTCCGGCCCTATTTTTCCATTGTTCCTCCAGCCATCATCTCAGACTTGTCATGTAGTCTACTTTCCTTTGTTTCTCTTTAGCCTTTCGATGAGCCCTCTGAGTGCTATGTTTTCTATGCCTTCTTTTCCTAATTATATACAACAAAAGTTCCAGCTACCTCTTTTCGATTTTTGCCGACATTTTTCTTTGTGGCTATTCTACTGAGGAACTTCCTTATTTGTCACATACTTTGTCCGTGATATTATCGACATAAACTTTTAAATTTCCAAAGACAAATGAAAAGCGTATTCAAACGATCATTTTCGCTTCCGATTTGGGTTTTTCATCAACTTCCGATAACTTCCAAACCGATAAAGTTCTATCGTCACCATTTTGGAAAATGAAAACTATATATATATGTTACTATATATTCACTGTGTATTACATTCACTGTATTCATTCCGGTATTACTGAATAAATACCACTAAATACATTCAGGTATTGCATTCACGATGAACGTTTAAATATTACGTCGATGTCAATATATTTTCTATACATTTTTATGATACTATTTACATTATTCGGGCTATCGTCCTCATCTTTGTCACCATATTTATCACAACGTTTCCGGCCTTCTTCAGGTGGTTGGAACGTCGAACTGAACCCTTTATTTCGCTTACTGGGTTAAACTGTTCTAGTTCCACGTGCCATGTCTAATGGATGTCAGTTATCAGTTATGTCCTCAAGGACACATGGCTTTGTTTTGTTTAGCGGCATATCAATATTTTGTACGTAATTTCATGCTTTTACCTACAGATATTGTGTACATAATTTTATACTTTTATTTTAGAGATCGAGGAAGCAACCACGTGGGAGTTAGGAAGTATATGTCTGAATATGAAATCCGCTTTACTCATGGAATAGGTAGAAAAAGAGCGTTATTCAACAATGAGGACGTAGCGAGGTGGAGTTTAACTGTAAAGATTACAGCTGGTGTCAATAAAGACTGCAGTTCCTCTGTATCTGCGTGTGACGTTGCATGATCCTATGCAGTGTATTTACGCCTGTATTTCCGCCATTTACTGTACACACAAATACATGAACAGCCACACGTTCAAAAAATGACTGACTTTGAAATAGAGCAATGGAATGTTCCAATCGTCATTAAGTTTCTACGGGTTATTTAATGACGAAATCTAAATATTTTAAATGCAATTGCATGCCTTTAAATACATATAGAACATATTGTTGGCCATTTTGCTCTAAAATATAGTTATTCTACTATAAAATATATTGTTGGCTGTTGTGATTTAGAATATACTGCTGGTATTTTTATACCAGTTTCTGATCAGATGCCTTGCTGCCAGTCTATCGTCATACCCAAGGTTAGAAATCCATATTACATAGACTTGGCAGATTAAAACTCTAATGTGGATCGCATGCATAGCGTCAAAGTTATTTAGAAATATTTAAACTGTCAAACATATAAAACAGTTTTCTCAAGTCAATGATTAAAATGGCTTCACCTTAATGAAACATTGTATGTATCAAATAATGATAAACAAAGAACTGTCCCACTGTCCCAAATGAGAAAAACCACATCACAAAATGTATAATGGAATTCACATACATATATATATATATATATATATATATATATATATATATATATATATATATATATATAAAATTTAAAAATATGGTTCCATTTCTACACAGGAATTACCATGTTTCAAAAACAGAAGCTAAAAACTTCAAATTCAATTACAGAATTAAAGTCCCTCGTCCTGTTTCATTTTGAACCGAATTTTGGAATAACTTATTTTGAAATTTACTGAGTTTTATAAGCACATACATTCATAATATTAGTTTCTAAGGAGACGAGGAAATCCAGTCATTTTAACAAGGGGCGGTAGGGTATTCGTTTTCACTGACAACTATTGTATCAAAATATTAGTTACTTCGAAAAGCGGTTAAGTCAAGGTATAGTAGGGGTGCTTTTCAAACGAATGATGACATTCGTTCAACGCATGTCGTCTGGTCTTTTTCAACGACAAAAAGGTTTTCGGCACATTTGTTTCGCCGTTAAATTATAATTGTATAGATAAAGTTTTTTTTTTTCTAAAACGGTTGTTTGTATATGAATACATCGTATTTAACTAGAATTTTAAAATATTATTCTTTATTTTAATTACTAATAGACTATAAATCTTTTAAAACAAATAAATGTAACAAAATTACTTAAATTGTTTTAAAAATATTATTAAATATCAAATATGTATATTTAATTTTTCAGTTTTTTTTTTTTGTTTTGTTTTTTTTTAATTAAACATTACTTAAGGAAAATGTTTTACAATTTCGGCCAAGAATAACTATTTCATTTCTTTGATTAAGTTTTTAGGTTCCATTTTTGAAACACGGTTATTACTGTGTAGCGAAAAACCATATTTTAAATCAGTTAATTTATAATATTTATGCTCTGTAAATTTACATTGAGCACTGTTTTGTAAAAATAAAAATAAAAAATAACAAGAACACCGGATTATATATCTTACTGTTCTTTCTTTTTTTTTTATATATATATATATATATATATATATATATATATATATATATATATATATATATATATATTTAAATATATATACACACACACACACACACACACACACACATATATATATATTATAAATTAATTGATTTAAAATATTTTTTTTTTTTTCGCTACAGTGTTCTAGCCATGTTTCAAAAATGAAAGCTAAAATCTCCGAATTTCATTTTGTAATTAAATTAAAGACAGTAGTTCCATTTCATCCTCAAAATTCGCTTGAGGATGAAATGGAACTAATGTCTTTAATCTAATTACAAAATTAAATTCGGAGATTTTAACTTCCATTTTTGAAACATGGCTAGAACTGTGTAGCGAAAAAAACATATTTTAAATCAATTAATTTATAATATTAATGCTCAGTAAATTTACATTGAGCACTATTTTGTAAAAATAAAAATATCTATAAGAACTCCGGATTATATATCTTACTGTTCTTTCTTTATATATATATATATATATATATATATATATATATAAGGTATGATGGATAAATTCTTGTCGAAATTACACAAAAATGAAAATGACACTAACATTCCATCAGATGTATTTACCAAAATTGTTAAAAAATATCTTGAAAAACTAAGGAGTAAAATTATTCAATAAAATCGCCATTGATGCAACCACGGCCCCCAGATGAATTCGAAATCTCCTGCAATTCTTCTGAACAGTCCCCTTGTTTAAGTTGGTGAATGATGTCATAACCATTGCCTCCAGGAGTTTTGTTGGTCTCACCTGCGCCTCATACACATCAAAGCGGAAGGAGTCTGGGGAGTTAGATGACCAGATGTAACGGGTGATATAGTCGCAGAAATTGTCTAACAGCCAATTGTCTCTTAGCTTGTGTGGCATGGTACAGAGTCCTGTTGCCAGGCATAGGTTCTTTTTAGCAGCAGCCACTCTCTTGACCCGGGGCAGCACTTGATGTAGGACCCCATGTTGAGTATGAGACCGTCACAAACAAATTCGGGAGTTCTTTTTTTATCAGAACGAAATGAATTTGCCGAGCTGCCGTTTCTTCGTAATCACCATCAGACTCATCCAACTCTTTCCAAATTCTCTGCACTGTCCTCAGATTGACACTCAAATACTTTGAAATGTTTGCATTGGAGCTTTCGGTGGGAATGCCAAGTCGTACAGCATACCGTTTGTCAAATTTCTGGTGGAGTGAATTACGCCATGGAGTTTTTTTTTTTTCCTCACAGACAGTGTCCAACTGACCTGACTCTACAATGCAGTCGAAAAATCAAGACAAACAGCGCGCTTGCGCGAACTTAAAAATATAACATGGTGACAATTTATCCATCGTACCCTATATATATATATATATATATATATATATATATATATAGAGAGAGAGAGAGAGAGAGAGAGTATGTGGACTCTACCGTCGTATTCGACGTATGAGGGTCAAACAGCGCAGTTCCTAGGAACCGACAGCCCAGACGCCAGCACATATGATTTGATTATAGTGGCGAAGGCTTTGTGCAGAGCCAACCACACTTTTTGAATGGCCGAATACAGAGACCTGGTGCACTACGACCCTCAGCAAGTTTTAAATTCAGAGCTGTCCTTCTCCTAGGCCAGTTGCCATCCAAGGCTATAGAATGCAGTCTGTCCTGCTATTTACCCATAGCTGGAGGGAGGAGATTAATAACTTTCCCAGGGTTATTGTCACGTATGTGAAGGTGATGGATTCAACTAGAATTCGAAATCGGCTCTCCGATTCCTCAATCCGAAGGCACGGTGGAGGACTGAGTTCAAATTCCATGTATATATATATATATATATATATATATATATATATATATATATATATATATATATATATAACTAGACTCGTTTTCAAAAACCCTCGAATTTTTTATTTGCTAATCAAATCAATCTCGAGGGAAAAAAAGGTTTTAAAAAAAAGAGCTACAAACATGAACTTCTGCCGACAAAAATATCGCACAGATGCAGGTCTGAAGCCCAAAGAAAAAAAACCCGATACGAGTAAACAACTAACAAAAGCGCTCAATACAACCGTAGAGCAGACCTAGATACACCTAGTGAGCCAGACAAATCTACCTAGGTTTCACCTAAACGGATCGTCAGGGAAAGTTTGGCTAACGAGGCAAAGAGAAACACATATTTATAGGTGATAGCTAAAATCATACCACGTGACAAAAA